TACTTACAAGTTTTCTAAGCACTGACTATTATTTATCATGTTAATGGCACCTAATGTTTGTCATAGATATAATTTAAACTTCTTAGAAGATTATATGCTACACTTATGAATGTACCTCTATGCTACTTGATGATGATCACAAATGACTTTGTTTGCAGAATATCTTCAGTTAAAGTTGGCATGAAAGATATGTTGCACTGCCAATGGCTCTTCTTAGGCTTAATGGTCAAAAGTGTAACATTTTTTTTTTTTTTTGCTATCCTGAGAGGATCAAACTGGTGGCAATCTTTTGCTTTTTTTTATTGGCATTTTCCTCATCAAAAGTGTTAATTATTTTCTTCTAGAGACAAATAGGGTAAATTTGGAAGAAAATTATGTGTCAGCACTTTTCTTTCACTTTTAAGGTTACCTTTTATAACATGGGCTAATTTTGATATTAAACATGTCAATCAAGGGGAGATCAATGTAATTTTTAATATTAGAGGGTATTTATGTGATATTGTTAGAAATCTCGAGGGAGGTTCCTGAAATTATCCCTTTTGAAATGTAAAATGACACAAAAAATAATATTGATTAACAATAAGCTACCTTTGAAACCTAAAAGAAAGAATGAGGGTTGGATGGCAAAAAGGTCAAAAGTAGTGGTACCATGGCAGCTTCCCATTGATGTTGCCAAAAGCTTTGGGTAGATAAATCCATTATTTACATCTATTTATGATATGATTAGCTTAGCATTTATTATGAATTTTTGTCAAATTATAAGTGTATTTTTTATTATTTTCAGCAAAACATGTTAAAAGATTGAATTGGGAAGACAGGGAGGAAAATCAAGGATATTGTGGTGGAAGTTAAGCAGAAATATGTTTAAAGATATTTTCAAAACACTTGTCAAGGAAATACAGTTGAATTTTGGAAATCTTATCAAGCCAATCAAAAGAGAGCTCAATTGTAATCCAATTTTTTAAAAGAAGTTTGGTGGGATTGGAAAGATTTTTCAAATGTCTCATCTCTTATCTTTAACCTTGATAGCTTATCATTAGGGCATTTGTTTAACTATAAATAGGGAGAAACAGAAGACACTAGGAGTGTCCTATTCATTCCTTTGTTTCTTTCTTTTCTTTGCATTTTCTTTAGAAGGATGTGTTGTTAGTTTCTAGTTTAGTTCAAGGAAAAAACTACCATCTCCATCCTCGATTTTTTAGGAGTAACGTTCAGTATTTGTAATTCCTTTATATTCAAGTATTTGTTTCTCTTTTGCTTTAATTCTTATATAATTGATTACTATTTCTCGCTTGTTGAAGTAGTTTTGATGTTTGCATACATGCGTTCTAGTTCCTTTCAATCAGTAATTGATGTTAGGGATAAAACAAGAAGCAAAGTAAATAATTTGAATGTTTACCCCTTTCATGTTAATTTTCTAGGGAGAAAATAAGACAAGTTAAATAATTTAAGCTTTTGAATGGTTGTTTGGAATAAACATACATTTTTTGTTTTAATGCAATTATTGAGTGAATGAGGATTGACTTTCAATATTGAATTCGCTTGATAACAAGGAATTAATTGGAAGCTTTTTCTGATTAATTTTACCACTGAATGTCTCGAGTTCCTTTAGATTTAAATGCAATTAAATTTATTTACTTGAATTGAAGGGATAATGTGACAGCCCCACCTTCCCCTAAGGCGAACCAAAGGGTTCGGCGGACCGCCTGTCCAACTCTCGCCGGGACTCAGTCATACCTCAAATAAAACCACAGGAACAATCATAATAATACTCCAAAACTTAAAGCCAAACTTATATACATTTCTATCTCAAAAGGGAGTACAAACTCAAATATACAAAGGTTCTCAATTCTTCATACATCCAACCCGTGCCAAGTGCTAGGCGAGAACCATTACACAAGAAATTTCAAAGAACTAGACCAAGCTAGTCTATACAGAGCTCTCGTCCTTGATCGCCTTCCCCTGTTAAGGAAAACAAAACTAAAGGAATGATCTTAAATACTCAGTGAGGTTCCGAACACATAATCAAACGATAAGTCCACTTAAAGCGATAATCAAACAATAGGACCAGCAATAAGTCAAGAAACATTTACAATATAAAGCGATAATAACACATTCATTAAAAGGATACATGCTCACAGGGAGCCATTCATTCATTCGTTCATTCATTCTCCTTTCATTCCCTTATTCCTCCAATCATTTGAAAATGTATTTTGTAAGTAAAACCCTGCATTTGCACTGACATTCGTTCATTCATTTCATTCACCCCCTCCTGGACGTTGGTCAGGCTCCACCAGACTACAAGGTAATATTCGAGTATACCAAACATTCACCCAGGGTCACCATATCGCCCGACCGAGTCCGCTTCTGGCTCGAGTCGATCGGTAACGAAGGGCAGGGCCCAGTTCAGCCAAAAGGCTTACATTCATGCGCAAGTAACGTTTCAATCATTGAATCATTGAAAATTTCACATTCATTTAGGTCGAGTGCGATAAAGTACACACTCGCCTAGAAAACTCGTTTTAGCAATCATTGAAAGCACTTAACACATTATCAAATAATTACAACAAGTCATGAAGTCAAAGAAAGTATAGCAAACAAGGAACACTCACCTATTTAAGCAAAATAACGTCCAAAGTATCATTCCGGACAATACCCTCAATCACCAAGGAACCCTAATAATAACCAAGGGAAAATATTACGGTTAAACCATCCAAAGTTTAGGTGAACCAAAGAACATGAGTAAAATATTTGTAAAACTTTGAAATCTCTATTTGAGTCAAAGTGACAAAGAAAATGTATTTCTATTAGTCGTAAATTTCATTTTTCCAAGGGTACAAGTTTCGGCCGAATTCTAGGTATATAAGAAGATGCAAATATCCTAGATGGTTCAAGTGGTATTCGTCATCAAATCCTTACCTAGTCCTCGAGTGTAAATTTGGGTAGCACGCCCTTTGTGTTTACCTATTTTCCAACTCATTTATGGCTTCATTCTTTTCCTCAATCAATCCCAAAGTTACACACAAAATAATCTCATTTCAATAGCCATTCCATAGGCTCCAAGTCATACAAGTACAAAATCAAGCTAGGAGCATGTGCGGAAATGAAGGTTGAGTTGGAAAACAAAAGACAGATTTGACGTTGTTTTGCGTAACGGACACAACCAAAACTAAGCTTATTGGATTGGGGTGAAATTTATACCATTTCGAAACTAAGACAGAGGGCTACAACTTTTATGAAGACAACTCAGTCCAGTTTGTAGTGTATCTAAGTCAAAATTCCAAATTACAGAACCAGCATCTCACATTCGGGCTTGTTAACTGCACTATGATTCAATGACAATAACTCAGGCTACCGGAGTCCGATTGAGGTTAATATTATGGCGTTTTGAAGCCAAGACATATACCTACATTTTTTATGAAGACCTCCAAAGCTAAATCATGCATTTTCAGAGTCAAAAATTGAAATTCCCACGAAGATAGAAAACTGTCCGCGAAAATAGGGGTTATGGGCAGTCAAAGGTATTTCGGTCTTTTCACAGGTTATATTACTCCGATTGAGCTGAAATTTTTCAGGAAACTATAAAACATCATTCTATACAACTTTCATGTTTTGTACTAAGGTTAGTTCGGCCTCTAACATGGTGAAATAAAACCAGGTAGAAGCAGGGCAGGTTATCATCCAAGCTAGAATTTATGCTTACAAACCAGAAATTTCTTTAGGCCAAGTAAACTAACATCTAAACACTAGCTATTTCACATATCAAAGCTATCAAACCATAACTAATCATTAATCTTCATATTAGGGCAGGAAATTCACCAAGAAACTGAAATTTTCATAAACCTACTTCAACCCATATAATTCTCTCACAAAATTTCTAATTCAACAACTATAACCACAAATTGCCCATTAATTGAAGTAAAGAAGGAGTTTCTTGACAATTTACCTTTACAACTCAAGAAAGATAGTAGCTTAGGTTTCTTTCTCCCAAAACAACTCCACCAATAGCTTTAAACCTCCTTAGTGAGCACTTGTATGGAGTAGATTCAAGTTTGGTTGGTTGGAACTCAAGATTTGAGCAAATTTGGAAGCTAGAAATTGAAGAAGATTTCCTTGTTTTCCTCCTTAAAACAGCCGGCCAAGAGGGATTAAAAATGGAGAAAAATTGGTCAAAATTTGGTTTTAGTAAAGGTAAGAAGGTTTGGTCAAAGTCCAACTACGAATCGGATCGCGACACGTGGCCCCTTAGATGTTTAAGTTTATCTTCTTGTCTCTCCATACTAATCAATCTAACTAACCTCTAATTGTCTCCTAGCACCTTGTAAAATAATATCACTAAATACAAAACTCACTTAGTCACCAAAATTATATCACACTAGCGGGTCCCACATTTATAACGCACTTCAAATTAATGTACACTAACTCATACTAGGAAAAATGATTTTAAAACTATACTTACTTATAAAAATGCATAGAAAATTTAATATTTCCAAAGAAAGTATAAAATGTAGGCAAAGAAATAGAATAATGCTGAGAAAATGTGAAAATTTTTGGGTTCTCACACTCTCTCCCCCTTAAGAAATTTCGTCCTCGAAATTTTACCTTCAGTTGCTTCAGACGAGTCCGGAACTTGTCGGTTGTCTAAGGCATAAACCTTTGCTGGCACAATTGTTCGATCCCCTCTTTCTTTCACTTTGGTTCCATCCAGTAATTGATTACTACTCTCCCGTGACTGTTTTCTTGGGCAGTTACTAACTTCTTTTTTTTTATTCCAAAATAATCTCTCAATTACTTGAATAAAACATGGAATTTCATCCTTTATTTTTGACAAATCTCAGGTATTCTTTTATAGCTTGCTTCATAGCGCCAAAATAAAAGGTTACCCAGTTGATACTTGTATAACTTACAGTTACCTTGCTTATTTTTTTGTAATAACTTGAGAGGTATGCCCCTTTTTTTTTTTGTTTTATGGGCAACGAAAATCTCCTACTTTTTTTTTATTATTGTCTAACATGCGGAATTGCTAGCCTATCTAGTGTTACAAGAGCTTTAACCCGACGTGGAAGTTCCCATTCGCCATTGAAGACCGAATCACAAGTCAATTGCGCCGAAGCAAGTGCATCTGCAACCATGTTTGCTTGTCGATAAACATGCCCTAGTGACCCTCCGAGCTCGTGAAGCAGAAAACGGATCTGCCGGAGGACGTTGCAAAGCGGCCAACTAGCTGGCGCACCCGAGGCGATCATTCGAACGAGAGCTGCAGAGTCAGATTCTGCCCTTACACCTGTTATTGCCCGATCCTGGCAGTATACCAGTCCTGACAACAGCGCCAGAGCCTCAGCATTAAGCACCCTGACTTCCCCAAATTCCTTGTAAAAAGCAAATATCACTCTCCCCTCGTTGGACCGAACCACTCCTCCCCCAAACACCCCCAAAGATGTGACACTCGCATCCGTGTTCAGTTTTAGTCCCTGCTCTGGTGGCCGGGACCAAGCAACCAGCATTGGTTGGCGACACACCCCCACTCTTCTCCTTCCCCTTGCCAAGATACAATCCCCGTCACCCTGAAAAGAGCGCCCTAGCTTCTGCACCTCCCTAAAAAATTCCATGAGATTCCCAACCTCCCAAATAATATGTTCCGCTCGCATCCTTGAACCCTCAAACCTTGCCTGATTCCTAGAACGCCATATGAATCATAGGGCGGCCATCGGGACCAGTACCCGTATATGATTCCCCTTGACCATCCGATGCGAAAGAAACCATCCTACCAGCAGGGAGGAGACACCATGAGCCCCCCTCCACGAGATACCAAACTGCTATCCAAAATGCCCCCAGACACTCACGGCCACTGGCCCAGTCACGAACAAATGCTCCACTGTTTCTCGCGCTCCTCCGCAGCAAGAGCACATAGACCCGAGATGGACCCCCTTCCGCTGCAGTTGGTCGTCCAGGGGAACCCACCTCCTCACTAGGCGCCAAACAAAGAAAGAAATCTTTGTCGGCAGCGATGGACTCCAGATGAATTGACTTACCAAAGACACATTCTGTTTTTGTCGGAGACCCTCCAGCGCCGTCGAAACCGAAAAGTTGCCGGAAAGATATCCCTCCCAGATTATTTGATCCTTGAGGGGCGGATAAATTTGAAGTTTTAGAATCTGTGATACATAGCAGTCAGGCAGCCAGCTCTAGAGCCGAGCAACGTCCCATCCGTTCTGCAAGTATAGCTCCCCGACTAATACAGCTGGCGCCTGGGGCTTATCCAGGAGCTGAGCCAGCGGCAGCTCAGTACACCAGCCATCCCACCAAAAATCAATCAGGCCTTCTCCCAGACACCAGCGAATCCTCCCTTCCGCAAAGCCCCTGACCTCTAACAGCCGTCGCCAAGACGCGGGGGTCGGTCAACCCTCACAAGCGCCAGATGTACACCTTTTATGTACTTGCAGTGCATAAACTCTGCCCATGCCGAGTCCTTTCTCCTCAACTTCCACCAAAGCTTGCAGGAAAATGCCTGAACAACGTCTCCGAACGCCCGCACGCCTAGCCCTCCTTCTACCGGGAAACAAACTTTTTCCCAAGCTGCCCAATGCACCCTTTTTTCCATGATGGAGTGGTCGCACAGAAAATCGTTGCAAATTCTGCCCAGAGCCACTAACATCGCTTTAGGGGGCTGCAGCGCCTGTAACAGGTGAAGCGGAATCGAGGTAAGAACATGACGGATAAGAACAATCTTACCCCCTATGGTTAACAACTTGGAGCTCCAGTGAAACAGCCTATGACGCAGTTTTGCTAGCAACCCATCAAACATCACGCAACTCACCCTCCCATTTGTTAGCGGGACCCCAGGTATCTGATAGGAAGCCGCTGCTCTTGGAACCCGAGAATGGACTGCACCAATTGACTTTGCTCTGGCGATATACCAGAGGGTGGTGAGAACGAGCTCTTACCGACATTTACCTTCTGCCCCGACCACGATTGGTATAACTCCAAGAAGAGCTTAATCGCACTTAATGCATCTCTCAAACACCGTGTGAATATGATGGTATCATCCGCAAATGCCAAATAGAGAACTCGGGACCCAGCTGAGACATAAAATCTGGACTCTCGAGCCAGGAACAAATCATGCAACCCCCGTCCCAGGAATTCAGCAACAAGAAGAAATAGCGCTGGAGAGAGCGGGTCCTCTTGTCGTATACCCCGTGAAGATTTAAAGTACCCAGTATGCTCGCCATTTATGAGCACTGAGAACCAGGAATTTGAAAATGTCCTGAAGCACAAATCAACCACCTGCTCAGTGAACCCAAACTGCCGAAGCATGTAAAGCAGGAATGGCCACTCTACCCGATCATAAGCTTTCTCCATGTCCAACTTAAGAATCAGATTTGGCTCCTTCAGCAGTCTATCCAAGTCCTGTGCCAGCTCCTGTGCTAGCAAGATATTGTCGGTGATATCCCGCCCTGGGACGAACCCCGTCTGCCACGGAGATATGATATCTGGAAGGATTGCATTGATTCTTGCAGCTAGGATCTTAGATATGAGTTTGGAGCTTACATTGCATAAGCTAATAGGCCTAAAATCCTGCGACTAGCACGCACCCTCCACTTTGGGAATTAGGACAATCAACGAGCTCGACCAACCCCTCGGTTTCCCCACCCCTTGAAAGAACTCATGTATCGCCTCCACCAGGTCGTCCTTAATGATCTCCCAACACTTTTGGTAGAAACCCGCTCCAAAGCCATCCGGGCCAGGAGCACTGTTTACTTCCATCGAGAAGACCACCTGCTGGACTTCCTCCTCTGAAGGAATACCCTGAATCCTGGCATTGTACGAGCCATCTACCGGCGGGAGCGCAAATGTAGGATCCGGGAAGCCACCCCGAATTGCCGCCTCTGACGCGAACAATTTGGCATAGAATTCTGTTGCAGAGTCCTTACTATGCTGCGCATCATCGTGCCACTGACCATCCGCGTCCTTAATCCTAGTTATGAAATTTGTGCTCCGGCACTGTCGAACCACCGAGTGAAAGAAGGACGTATTAGCATCCCCATCCCTCAGCCACTTCACTGCCGCCTTTTGCCTCCAGAACTCACATTCGGTGGCAAGTTCCCTATTGTACTCTGCCCGAGCCGCACTGAGACGGGTCCTAGCGGAGTCATTCCGAACCCTATCATACTCCTCCTCACATATCCTATAGGCGGCCTCCGCCACCTTTACCCGGTTAGAGAAGTCACCGAACGTAACCCGACTCTAGACCCGCAATGTTTTCTTTACCTGGACCAGTTTCCTAGAGAAACGGGCCATCCCAACCCCTAGTGTTGCCGTTTCCCAAGCCTCCCTCACCACTGTAAGAAAGCTAGGGTGGCGAGCTCAGACATTCAGATACCGGAAGGAATGCGGAGAGCCTGTCCCCAGGGCGCATTTCACCAGCAATGGGGCATGGTCCGATCGCCCCCTTGCAAGATGCGACACCCTTGAAAGCGGGTACGCCATTCCCCATTTGTCGTTGATCAGGGCACGGTCCAATCTCTGCCATACTATGTCATTTGTCCACGTGAACTGGGATTCGTCAAAGTCCATCTCAGATAGTCCGCAACTGAACATCGAACTATTGAATTCCTCCATGTTCCGCAGATTGGGAGGGACCCCCCGGTTCGCTCGTCCGCCGAGGCAATGACATTAAAGTCTCCCACTGCCATTCATGGGCGAGTCATTGATTCTCCAATGCCTTCGAACGCCTCCCAGAATGGCCGTCTGGCCACCCTGGTGCATTTGGCATAAACTACGAAGATACCGACTGACACACCCGAGCCAAAGGAGGCTGTTACGTGCACCAACTGCTCCGCATGTTCTACATAAGTAAGGCTGAGTCTCGAATCCCAAAAAAGCCAAATTTTCTGATCGATAAAACTAGTCGCATTATCAAATTTGAGTCTGCGGCGAACAACTTCCATTTGCCCTAATTCTGACATTGGCTCTAATAACGCCAGTAATCGAACTGAATTATCCCGGCAAAGCTTTCCCACATACCGGATAGAATCCGTTCGGGAGGCTCCCCGAATATTCCAACACAACAAATTAAGTGGGCTTAACATAAGAACGGAGGGAATAAGAGTTCTGAGCTACTGACCGTACCTGTTTCCTCCTGCCGCCCTTACGAGGTCGGCCCAGTCGCCTCGCGCCATTGTTATGTGACTCACTTGCGAAATTCGTCTCCCCTCTATCCTCCCCGTGTGCCCCTCCATCCGCTGCCAAGAAAGAAGCCCATCTCTGACTCACCTCCGCATGGGCTTCCACCAGCTCCTGCCTCGTGATGGCCATCTCCCCCAGGTTATCCGCCGACAGGCGCCGCGGTAAGTCCCGTTTGCATAACAGACGTGGGGAGATCCTAGGTGACTCAGACAAGGTGCCATCCGATTCGTCCACCGCCAGGCTTTGAAGTGCTGCAAAGCGATTCTGCCTCCCCCCCTCCCGAGGCACGCTCAACCCCGAGGCCGCAAACGGCATCTCCGGAGCCGCCTCCAGACGGGGAAGTGTAATCTCTAGACTACCCGCAAGACCCATGTTCTCCACAGTGTTCGACCCACCCAGAGGCTGTACCATGGGCTGTTGCGGTTGCTGCTCCAAGGACGCAGCCACCAGCAGTGGCCGTTGGGGCACACCCATTGGCATCACCTTGTCGGTTCCATCCTCGCGCTTCCCATGCAGGCACGACTGGGGAGGTTTCGTCAGTGGCGCACCTTCCGACTGTGATTCTCCCCTGCCACCAGCACATCCTCTGGTAGCAGCGGCAGTGGCGCTGGGTCTTGGGCAGCCACCGGACAGTGTGACTCCCCTGCGTCCATGGCGCCAGACCCATCGACGTCCATGACGCCAGACTCGACTCCCTCAACTGGCAGAAGGGGAGCAGGGCCATGGGCCTCCTGGACGTTGTCCCGTTCCCGAGCCTTTTTCGGCGTATACCTCTGCGGAGGTCTCTGTTTTTCGGTCTAAGTCGAAGGCCTGTGCTCCAGTCTCAGCGCTGGATTTTTTCAGAAACAAGCCGCAATATCGTGCCCAAACATGGAGCAGTGTGCGCAGTAAGCTGGCATCCATTCCATCTCCACTGGTTGCCAGAAACCAAAATTGTCGTCTCCGATCCACACCCTTTTCACCGGAGGTGCAGACACGTTGATCTCTACTAGCACTCTCGCCGTCGAAGGGCGGCGAAGTTCGCAGGTCGCTGCATCCACCCTCAGCGGGCGACCCAAAGTTGCAACGAGCTTCAGCAGTTGGGCCTTCTGGAAGAATGGAATGGGTAATTCAGGGAATGCCACCCACACCGGCGCCACCGCCAGCACTTGATCCACCTTGAAGTCTAGAGTCCATTTGGAGATGGACATTGGAGAGCTTCTCACATACCAGATCCGACGAGTGAAAATTCTGGTGTAATCCTCCTCCAAGGAAGGACGTATTAGCACGTGTTTTTGGTCCAACAAACCAACGGAGCACTCACCTTTGAGACCCAAGGCTGTGAAGAACTTGCGGATGATCTCCATGGGTGGACGGGTGAAAGAGAATCGCCCCACCAGAGCATTCTGGAAAGGCTCTTAGAGCTTTGTGATATCCTGTCTCGACAGACGTAGTACCGGCTCCCCTCTGTACGTGGACACTT